GTTCCACTCGTTCCAGTAGCTGTGCGTATTAAAGAGCTTTGGCTTGTTGACGTGATGTGAAATGGAGACGAGACATTGGATATCATAATATGTTGTCACTTGTTGCGTGTACCCTGTCTCTGCTTTCCTGTCCTTTGGTTTATAGCCGACGTGCTTATGGCTGCAGCTGCACGGCCCACGTCTGCACCTGTTAACTCAACTCTGTGGAAACAATGAAAGTGTTAAAACCTGCCGCATGTTTGACCAGAACTCCCTGGAAGAAGAGCTTTTGTTTCTCAGCAGGATCTTAAATAAAGGATAGATTGAAAATGGTCCTTTGATTAAAGTTTAAGTGTCTAACTTTGTTTTCTTAAATAATACATTTTGTGGACAAATCCGACCACAGATTGCGCAGTCTTCAAACATATTTTGCCGACTTGCAAGAAATATCCCTGTGACTCATTATTTGACGCTTTTAGCTGAGAGCTGATTGGCTGAGGGTAGTCCCGTCTTATTCACTTTTCTGTCGGAAAAAGCCGATCTAAAGACAAAAAACGCATGTATGTGGAAACTAGTCTGATGGATTTGATAACATTTTTTTTTCTTTTTTTTTTTTGGTTTTGAAAGTTACCTGCTTACATTTTAAATACATAGGACATTCAACAACATTTATGGACATTGGTCATTCGCCCCTCATGGACCAATGGCTCTATGTGTTTCTGATTTGTGTTGGTGAATCAACAGTTTTGTAAAGTCCTGAAATAACTACTGTTGTGATTTAGGGCTATACATAAATATATCCGAGAAAGGCTGGAGATGGCTAACTTGTCATTACAGATTATGCTGATGGTGCATGGACAACCCCCAGTTTCTTTTATTTCTTCTAAATCTTCTTCCAAACATAATATTTTGGATACTGCACACACATAAAGATTTATTTTGTGAGCTGTTGTGTGGAATTGAACATAACATTTGAATTTGTGTTGAACAAAAAGGTTTTTGATTTTCTATGACATGTTAGCTTTAGGTATACACAGGGATTTAGGGGAATTAGACACAACACGCCTTTGTATTGCAAAATCAGCTAACAGTCTCTCTTTGTTACTCGTCACTGCGCACAGTAAATCTGGGAGTTGTTGTTACCTGTCTCTTTTGGAATTTCTATTGCAATTAAGCTGCAGCGAAGGGAGGGGTTGGACAGGTGTTTTCGTAGGATCGAGGGGCGCTCTGCCACCACTCTATAATTAAGCAGGAAACTATCTGCTCACCATTTCCTATGTGTATTTGTGCAGGTTTGCTGCTGTAATGGTGAGGATTTACCTTTTTACATCTCCCCTCAAGCCCTGATTTTAAGACTTTCTGGCACAATGTTGTTTTTTATCATAATTGCAGAAGTTATCCTTTCTTCTTTGTCGCTACGAGCTAACTTGAATAGTAGTGACGTCTGCCTTTTGTACACAGAATAAGTTGACTTTAGCTTGAGTTGACACGCCTTTGGACTCATCGTTGTCAATTTACCTCTATCTGGAGTATTTGTATGTGTCTTAAATAGGTTTATTTTATTCCTGTTATGATCTTGGCTTTTATTGTTGTGCCTCCTGTTGGACTCAGCGTCGCATCATGGAAACGCTCAACTGTCAGAATGACTTCACTCGCTCTCAAAGTGTTTTATGCCTTTCTGATTTTCCATATTATCATTGCCCCACAGTCTATTATTGTGGAAGCCAATTAGAACATCTACGACTTTCATTACGCTTGTGAAAACGAAATCTAACACGGCCCATATAATGAACTCACAATCAGTGACGATAATTTCACAAATGAGAGTTTCTTTGCTTTGCGGCTGTGAGTAAATGAGTGTTTGTGCGCTGGCTGGAGCAGATGTCAAACAAGTTCTCAGGTGAAAGAATGCAGGGTGTTTAGAAACTCAGGGCTGTCTGTCAATAGTGTCTCTTGCGGAGCCATTAACGAGACACTGGTTGAAAGATTGGGAGCTGTCAGCTTTACATCAGATAGTAATGTGTTTAGAGTATTGTTTTCATAATAGTGCTGCTGACTAAAACAAAGAGATTGCCAGATAGTGAGTTATTATGTTACGCACATAACACTATTTTGCCCAAGAGGATAAAGAAATGGTTAGTTTGTGTCAGTCAATGGGGGCGGGTCCCGGCTAAAAAGTGGCCAAAATGATGTGCGCTGACATGCTTGCAATACCACCCCGGACCGATAGTAATTGATAGTATTAGACATTCATTTTTCATTTTCTAGATATGCACAACAACAATGTAATAATAATAATATCATAATAAGGAATTTGATGGGAACTATAATTTTATGCAGGTTTTTGTAATATTTTAGATTCATTACACACTTACTATATACTACTACTACTATTACTTCTACTAATATAAACAAATCATTGTAAATGTGTTTTTGGAAAACTGTTTTTCAGATAAATGCATTTAGATCATTGGAACTCAAGTGAGAGAGGACCCAGTTACAGACTATTTGTTTGACAGAGAATAAGACACAGTTGTTGTTTTTCCTGCAGTCCATTTCTCTGGATCTCATTCTTCCGACTTGTGGCTTCGTATCCACTCGTCTCGTAATGCACAATGTCATTCTCTTGAAACATGACTCATCTTGGTTCTTCTTTTAAATCGTTTTGATTTAAACCTTCATATGAGATTATCTTGTAAATAAAATCAACATCATCTTGAGCATACAACCAATGGGTTCAATAATCTTTTACAAAATAAACATGTTCAGTGCACTTCTTAGCAACAATGGAAAGTCCCTCAGAGCTAAGCCACCCATAGCTGCTGTGGTGCGTGCCTGAGCGTGGATGCATGCTTCTGCCTCCTGTGTGCCCCCCAGGCTCAGAGGAAGTGCGGAGACCTTCATGCCCATTTGGCCCGGGCTAACAGGGGGATGAGGTCACTCCAAATTCCCCTTATCCCCCTTATAGCCCTAGACAGGCTGGCCAAACAGCCTACCACAGGACCTGACATAAAACACAAATGGCTGTGTAAAAAGCTGCCGGGCTGATGTGACTCATTAAAAATCACTGGCGCCAACTCTTTTATTAATTCATTATTGTGCTTGGGAGAGCGAGGTCATTGGGTTGTATAGCTGATCCTCTTTTATGTTGTTTGATAGGCATTCAATCTTAAAACCATGTGACCATTTCTTTCTAATTAAAACGTCTACAAATAAAACCAAATTGATGTAATACACAAGTTAGAAACCACATGGATATATTTTTTACTCACCCCTTCCTTTCTATGCATTTTGGTGTCTTTATGGGGGCTGCCATAAGTTCATGAGCCAGATACCCAAACAGACTCTCGCCAAGACGCCTACGTGTTCTTTATGCACTTTTGCAATATTATCCTCAATCCTGGAAGCTTTGTTTTTCCAGTCCGTGTACCTCTCCCATTAGACCCATTTTACTGATGTTTTAGTATGGTAGACGCACAGTGGTATCATTGCACCGGGTCATGGCACGAGTTCTATAAGCAGTGGAAGGAAATGGTGGGGGCCAGAGGAAAGAATTGAGCATGGACGTGATTATGGTGAATTGGTGCAGGGTTGGTAAAAGACGGAAAAAATTCACACATACACAAAGTGATTGGACAAATGCATTAGAAGCAAGATGGCAGTAGAGTCATGTTGGCAGGATGGGGGTGGGTGCTCCTTCCTGAAACGTGGCCACCCGAGCCTGCCTGGGCTCTGGATGCACATGTGGAACAGTTTACTGTAATGGAACTCTAAATTAGTGGTGGTTTGAAGCTGCCTGCAGCAGTAGGGTGTAATTAACTGGCTCTGTTGAAAGAGAAAGAGCCAGAAAGAGAGGCAGGGAGGGAGCCCGCGCTCAGGCAAAGGGTGAGAGGTGTGTGTGCATTAGGGCCTGCTATGGCTTATTTGAAAATGTCAATTGCACTTATGTGCATTTGCATCTTGAAACTCTTGTTATCTTTTCACTTTAGTACCCAGATCTAGTCAGATTTACCATTTTTTTTAATTTATATTTGGGAACATCTGCAAACTTTATTCATTATTGTGTTACTTTCGTAGACCCAGAAAATCTTTGGGGACTTCTCCATCCTTCAAAGCCACATGTAACCACACTTTATCATAAGATACATGAAATGCTTTTCCCTTCTTGTTTTAAAAGGCAGGACATAAGCACATCCTTGTTCTCTGCGTCTATGTCCATACCCACTGTGAGTCAAACTGATGGGCCGTCGGCAGAAGGCCCCAGCCAAAATGACTCTGTGGGACGGAGTGCGACCCTGAGAGAAGATAGTTGAAAGTGACAGCAGCAGTTAGCAATCAGTGGATCTCATTTTCCCTACCCCCTACCCTCCACACCCCTCCTCTTCATGCTCCGAACCCCGTGTCTGGGCCTCTGGTCCTGGGGAAAAGAGAGAGGCAGGCTGCTGTGCTAGGCTGGCAGCAGTAACAGAGGAGCTCTTTATAGTAGAGTTCTGGTGATTTAAATCATATGGCATAGCCTGGAATCACTGTAGAAGTCTGGAAACTCTTCAAAACTGCAGGAACAAGAGCTCTCTCTCTATTCCTCTCTTGCATTCGTCTTCCCTCGCTCCAAACAGCTTGTCCCCTTTATAACTATTTCCAAATGTCTGACTTATTTTTCTTTTTTATTTGTCCAGTTGTAGTTTTCCTCTCATCACTTTTTACACATACTTCTTCCATAACTGCTCTTTGCACACGTCACCTTCACATAACCACTTCAACTAATCAAGAAAATGTACGAGACCCACTATTAATTATATACAAATAATGTTTTCTGGAAAAGTGTGTGTAGTAAAAAATACAATATTGAATTTGATTTCTTTTCTTCCCCCAGAAACGTTTGCCTTTGGGACACCTGCTAAGTTACGTGGCAGAGTCTTGAATCGTCTCTTCAACTTCCAAAGCAAAGACAATACGGACATTTTGATTCCAGTTCGTCGTTCGTCAGCGGCCTGCTCTGGACATCTGGGTGTTTGCTCGTCATGGCCACCAACCGGGAGCAGCAGGTGGGTCACATGACCAGCTTCCCACCTGCTGTATACCCCTTCGCCTTCAACTCCATGAGAAGCTCGCACTTTGACCTACTCGCCAACAGCAGCCTGTTTGGGCGCTTCGGTGCTGACCTGCCCAAAGAAATGGCTGCTCTCTGTGAGTAATTTTCATGATCCCAAGTTTCCTATCCGCTTATAAGCTGTTTTCCATTTCAGCTCTACATGTAGGCTCATACCTTCATCATAGGACCAATTAGACGCTCATCATATAGACACAGTAAAGCTTCTTAAAATTGCTCTTCATTATGTGTAATTTTGTAGAAATAGGAAACCATAGGGTCTGTTTGTGATATAAGATAAATAGTGTCCGCAACAGAAACGCCATGGAAAACGTGAACTCTCATAAATGCAGTGATTACTCTGATGCTGTGGTTTCCTTGCAGACCCTTCATGATAGTGTGGTTATTACGACCGCAAGTCCTAGCTCTGCCTCGCTGCTACACCAATATATCTCTCACGTCTGTGTGTAGTAGGCAAACCCACAAGTCTGCAATTAGAGACAGAACAGCATTCTTTTAGCAAGAGGTGGCTACAAGTGCTTTGTGCATAAACATCTGTGGAATCACAATATTTACTTCAATGGTATTCATAGCGACATTGTGTTACGTGTTCAGAAGGTGTCCTATCACAAGTTTATATATTTAATGTATTCATTCATTCATGCACACATTTGTCACATTTTCTTTTAATGTACATGTACATGCACAATTTACACCCTCACTCACACACATATGCACACACATGCACACACTTACACCCACACTCACACACACATGCACACACAGGCACACAGACACACACACTTACAGCCACACACTCACACACGCACACGCGCACACATCTACCAGATGTACTTTCCTGCAGTGGAATGTAGATTCTACTTTTACCACAGGGGGCACTGTTGTCCTCTTCTGCTGTTATGGGCTATGATGATGGAGCACAGAGACAAAGAGGTTGTTGTTGCAATCTTCACTTATTTTCTCTCAAGAAAAAAGTCTCTCAAGACTACCCAAACAGTAGAAGCTTTCCTCACTCATATGTGCAGCGTCTGCAGGGAACGATAGCGACTTTTTGTTTGAGGGATAAGTAAGCTATTTGAAATACTATCTGGGTGCACTACAATGGTGGCGGGGGCACTAATGGGTGTGAGGGGCAACAGCTGAGTGAAGAGACCACCTTTATACATATAGGCCTACATATGTGTGTGTGTGTGTGTACGTGTAGTCTTCTTTTTTCTCCACCACCGCAGCATGCCTGAGCACCTCTTCAGCTTTTCAGCCGTCAATCACTACCTCACCTCCCCCTCTCCTCACCACCGCTGCCCACCTAATCCTCAAGGTATTTCCACAGAACCAGAGCACAGCAGACACAGCACCTGGGGGTGATGTCCTACTGTGGTGGAATCCAAGAACACACCCAGTCAGGAAAACACACACACACGCACACACAAGCACACACACACACACACACACACACACTATAAACACATGCTCTCACCATCTCCTCTAAACTTCTTTCAATGAAAAACAAAAAAATAAGTGCTCAGTGTAGAATGATGTCTTCCAGCTCTTGTTGTTTTGATGGCACAAGTTTAAAGAAAGAAAACAACTTTCAAACTCTGATGCAGGCAACCACATGCAGCTCTTGCTCCATAATGATGACTTGTAGCGACACATCCACATTGGCAGAGGTATCGCTCACACTTTAGCGCTGTGCTGGAGATTAAACCAGGCTCAAGTCAAAGGTTAAGTCAGGATCAGTGTGACAATTAGTCTTGGGCTGACTTAATAAAGCGAGATTAACATTCAGAGAAGCCTTTTCTATTTAAATGAACAAATTGAAGTATTTATTACCATTGTATTTATGAGCAATACCAAGTTGACTGAAAACAAACTGTATTTTCTAAAAGAACAGAAGAGTTTAAAAACATCACCGGCTCTTTTCTGGTAAAAGAAAAAAGAATTTATAGACCTTCCTAAGACAAGGAATGTTATGGGACCTTTTACCGACCAGTTTTCTTCCTTTCTCTTAGGCCCTGTTTATACTGAGACGCTGCGCAGACGTTTCCAGGCTATTAACAGAAACGACCAGGCTCCTAATGCAAATTTCTCAGCGTTCACATGAGGTTGAAAAACGATGTAGTTCTAGCGCCCGGCCAGTAGTGGGCAGAGAAACTTTACAACACGACACACGACCCCGAGCCCCGTGCCCAGCCCCCCCTCTCGGCAGTATACTCACTTCCTGTGCCAGACCCTCAGAGAGCACCAACATCATTCTGCCTTTTAACAGCAGCTGTGAAAATGGGAACTGAACCTAGAGCTTCGCGTGGTCTCGTTTGGACGAACGAAGGAGTAGAGTTATCCTCTGTCCCGCGCTGGAAGCCCACGTAGCTAGTTTGTGTGGGCGGCGCCATTATTGTTGATGATTGTTCTCCGCTACTGCGCATGTCCAAATTTACGTGCGGGGAGCAGCGCGGAGGCGGGGGTCAGAGCAGAGGGGGATTTCACACCTTTCCCCTCTCGCGGGTGTGAAAAAGCTCCCTGCTGTGCAGCGTATCTGAGTTGTCCCACTCTGCAGGCTGGATCTGAACACTTACGTTTTCACCCCCCTGGAACACAGTCTTCGTATGAACGGTTGGTAGCAACCGACATCCTACTATACCGTTTTACTGCCACATTGTCTCCGTGTAAACTCAGCCTTAAAAACACCTCATGCACACACATAAAGACAAAGCCCTCAGTTTAGACATCCCTGTAAGTCTGAGTATTTCTATTTCAGGTACTTGTTCTCTAAAAGCTGAACCTTGCTTATTGTTAGTAATGCTGTCTGTCGGTCAGCCCCATAGAAAAACCTTCCACATAAAGAGCAGCATTTATTTTATGTGTGTGGTATCTTTCTTTGTTGGGTGTGTGTGGCGTGCCGACAGGTTGAAGCACCTCCCACGGTGGCACTCTATTCTGGCACCAGAGTGTCTTTGGAAATACCTGTTTTGCACAGAGCTGGGAAGAGTCAGTTGAAGAAACCTAACAAAGGTAGACTCTGTGCACACCCACATAGATAATTTAATAATGGAAGAAGAGTGCCGATAGATGCCCTGAAGTTACTTCAATAATGTGAATCAAGCTTGAATGAATCTTCCTCTCATTTCAGTATTCCTGATTCTGCCCCATCTAATTTGTGTTTTTTTAATGGAGTGTGCTTATCTATTACAGGGTCTGACGGCTCTGCAGTGTGTTGTGAGCTAGTTATCAGTTGATCCCACTCATTATAGCAGTCCTTCAAACAAACAGTTGGAAGCCCATTAAGGCCACTTACTATGTGATAACATCGCCACTGAGCCCTGAAACACCTCTGTAAGCTTTCACCAATGAGGGCCAGAGCCCTGGCCCCGCAGCCAGCCACAGGGCTGTTTTCAAAAGCTAGTTGGTCATTTCCTTCCAGACCACAAAGCCTGAATCAAAATCTCCTTGGATATTAGTGACCAGGTACTCCAGGTCATTTATATTTGTATCTTTCTTTTTAATGTTCTGTGATTATTTATGATTTTAATGCTTTCTTGTTTTGTTCAGCACTTTGAATTGCCTTGTGTATGAATTGTGCTATATAAATAAACTTGCCTTGCCTTGCCTTGCCTAATATGGAATAAAATTCCAAATACTGGACCAAATGCACAGATGCAGCACAAGCTTTATTGTAGCAACTCAGGCAGTGTGAGAAACGGACCAGAAACACGTGAAACTCACATATAGTGACATAATTAGAAGCGGCTCCTCCTGGTCTTGGAGGTAGATGCATAAAACAGCTATTGTGATGGGATAATACAGCAAAATACAAATAACAAGTACTTACACGACATAGGATTTGAAACAAAATTTTCATTTCTGTGCTTTATTCTCCAGAATCACTTAAAATCTCTAGAGCTCTTTATTTTGTGCTTTGTAAAATACTGGCACTTGAGCTCCTCAGTTTTACAATGTTGGGAGTTGTGACAGTTGACTGCTGGAATATAATTGTGAATTGATTTCTTCCTGTATATTTTGGTATTTTGGATTGATGAAGCAAAGGTATATATTTAGAACAGGTGTGCTTCTATTTTAGAAAGTTGTGGTTACAATATTTTTATTTTGTTTTATTGGATACCAACTTTGCTAAAACACTCATCTTTTGCTCTCTCACTATTGTCTCCAATTTCACCTTGGATTTTACTCATTGAGTCATTTTGCCTCAAGTACTGAAAAACTGCTGATACTTGTTTTTATTGCTTGCGAGCTTGTGTCAGACTATATTCTGCTGTGTGTGGAGGACAAGAGCATAGATTTCAAGGAGAGGCCACAAAATGTATGACAGCATTTAAAGGATGACAGATGAAGATAAAGAGGTTACTATTAAAACGGGAGGGGCCCTCGCCGGAGTCGCCGCTGAGGGCACGTGTAACGCTAAGAGCACACTATGGCGAGTGGCGGGGCTGGCTGTCAGAAGGAGTGGGAGGGTAAACAGCACAGCGCTGGCCTCTGAGAATATGATGGTACTTTTGGCCAAACTACTAAAAGATCTTTTTTCCTCCCTCCCACCTAGATGAGTAGCAAAATGTCATGACAGAAGTGAGGGAAGCTGGGAGAAGTTTCTGATAGATGGCCAAGTATGATAGTGTAGTGAAAAGTAGCTCTTTCAAGCTTTCAGAGGGACTAAAAAGTGAACCAGCATGGCTGCTGCTGATTAACTCCCCACTCCATGCGTCTGAGTGACTCTTCAGCCGTTTGAGGAGATATATTGTGAGAAAGCCAGATAAGTGACTCGTATTACATGTCTGCTCAAAGAACACATGTAAAACTAGAAGCGACAAAGAATGCTACCATTTACCCGTACACTTCCCATGTACAATGACAAATTCATTTCATAAAAGAGTCCCTAGTCATTAGGGAATGACAAATACCATACTTTAGCTTCTTTGAGTGAGGTCCGAGTGTAACCTGAGTCTTTGTGTAGTTTGCCAGAGCTGCGAGCTGGTGTTCAGTGTCTCTATCATCACCAGCAATCTGTTTCGGCACGTCCACACACTGCACATATGCTCTCAGCGGCCGAGGAAAAGAATGACATTCCTTTTAAAATCACCATGCTGAGTTTAGCACATAGGTATTTTAAAACAAGCTGCTTTTATTGCTTCACACTGGACTGTGTTGTTGACTATCCGGCTAGAGCTCCAATGAATATATACAGAGGAAGTGTTGTATATGTCTTATCTATATAATCAACATCATAGTGTCAGATATACTGTATTTATAGTGAAGTCTGCCCCTGTTCACTGAGGAGTATTTCATCAACAATTGTGTACCTTGTTGTGTTTCCTGTGTTGTAAAATACTGTACATTTCACCCTATAGAGCCAACAACATGTATTGTGTAACATTGGTCCATCATAATAGTTTGGTTAAATCAATAGTTTTCACATGCTTGTGTTTTTGGCCTCCGTCACATTTATTGAATAACTTTTGCAGACAGAAAAAAATTAAAAGACAGAAGCCCTTCATTCAGCCAATCATGTCTCAGCCCCAAGAGTCAAAAAGCAACTCACAGGGCTCTTTCTTACAAGTCTGCAGAAGGTAATCTTATAAGGAGAAGATGGTATGTTGTAGTCTGACTTGTTCATAACATTTGACTTTTACAAGATTCTTCCTGTTGGGATGAACAACATGTATTATTTATGAAAACAAAATGGTACGATTTAGCCACAATAGCACCGAGAGAGTGAGTTGGCAGCTTCGAAACATGAAACGTGTCCAAAACTAGAAACAAAAACAGAGAACTTTGTCAACTTAAGCAAATCATGCAGTCAGGAAAAAATGACCGTGGGGAACTTGATGAAATGGGGAGAGTATTTGCAGAAATGGAGAAGGGAAAAAAAGAATTAAGGAGAGAGATGGAGAGACTTGTGAGCCAGAGGAGGGCGGGCAGGATAAGTTTGGGGGGAAAGTTAGTGGCCCAGTGGGGGTTTCTTCCAGAGTTCAACCTCTGTGGCCAGGGAAGGAAGGGGTGGGGAGAACAGGGGGCACTGGCTCTGGGTCAGCAGCAGTATGGAGTATGTGTAGATTACATGTCCAAACTCTGTCTGTGAACCCTCTGAAGTCCCCGAGTCTCTGAGTGCCATACGCCAAGAGCCTGCTTTAGTGTGACTCAAGTCTCCAACATCAAAACTCACTATGGAGAAAATTGAACTCATAAATCTTAGTATAAGTTGTGAAACGTTGTATCACTGTTTTTACCAATGAGCAACACATTGTGACTCAAAAGCACATTTGGACACCAGGGATTAGTGGCTCTCAGTCTCCAGAAATAATAAGACATAAAGGAGATGAATGATGAGCGTGAGAACGTGTTTGATTTCACTTCCAAATGGCTCATCAGAAAATATTGCAGAGTTGTTGTCTCTAAGAGTAATTCAATCATGCTTTTCCTCAATAATTATCTGCTTCATAAAATGTCTTTTTAATGACATGACAGCTGGATGAAGAAACGCATAAAAGCGCTGTTAAATGAGTTCCTTTGTATATGTGAGAACTATGATCCCCACATGTGCACCAGCTTAGGAAAATAAACACACTCTGAACTCAGCTGAAAGCCTTTGGGTCAATAAACATTTTAATCAAAATGGTTCAGAATGGACCACGTTGCATAGCATGGTCTCTTTCACGAGACAGGAAAAGGCTGAAGTGTTCATCGTGGGGCCATGCTGTGTGTTTATGGAGAGCATAGCCAGCAGCACAGATTGACAGGAAATGGTGTCTTTTTTGCCTGCTGGGCCATACCACTTGTAGTCATCTGACAGGGGAGATGAATGCTCTGGTCCTACAGAAGCCTACTCTATTATCATACGTCTCCTGATCTCTCATGTCCTTTACTCAGGTCTGCAGAACAAGTTATTAAGGCTCCGAGACGTGCTTTTTAGATTGCTTATTGATTTCTGATAATTTACTGGTCTCTTTCGTATTCAGGCTGAATTGTCTCAGTGAAAATATGGATGAAACTACCTGTAGTGTTTATGCCTTTATTACACAAACATATACGATTAACGGTGGGGTACCAAACTTTACAAATATTGAGCGACCTGTCTGACTGTAGAGGCCGCAGATTATAGAATATTGACATTTAAGTGTGGTTTATCTAAAACCTTTACAAAGGGCCAAAAAGAGACCAAAGGGCAAGGAACTAGTGACATTGGATTTTATTACATTTTATTTGCACAAACATACATACCTGTTTTTCCTGAGATATGGGAAAGGGTGGGGGGCAATGCAAAAACAGTAAGATTTTATTATTTGTATTGATAGTAAAGCCATATTCAACACTCAATGTCTATTCGAGGTCAGATATAAGAATAGCCTTGAGAGCATTTGCCACGCCCCCTTTTTAATTGATCGACTGGCTGTGTCTTTAGTTGACCAAGAATTCCTTTGGTTAATCACAGCCCTCGCAATATGAATTTACTTGAGACGCAAACTGAAGTACTGACCATCATGGTGTTACTATTATGTGTGGTGAAAGATTCATTTATTTGAAAATAAGTGTGCAAATGTAAAAAGTAAAGCAGTATGCTAAATTGAGGGGAAAATGTCATTAGCACTGTCTGAGTAGGTTATGTTTCATCCATCGTTATTTCCAGCAATGGCTTCAAAGACAAGCATCTGGGTTGTGGATAGAATTGCTAAACAATATCCTTCAGATTCCTTTCTCACACTCGCATACTCTCAACTTGCCTGTGTCTGGACTTTAATATGGTTATGATTAGAAACGGGGCTCAGAAAAGAAGGGGAGGGGGCTCACTGTTTACTTTAAGGGAACTGGTGGGAGGAGTCATCTTAAGACACAGAACAGATCTATCTATGGGAGACCACATTGTTTTGTTCTTGAATTTGATATTGACATAAAACACAAAGCAGCAGCAGCAGAGACAAAGAATAGGGATAAAGTTTGTCCACCAACCAGCTCTGTGCACACTCTGTGGTCCAACCCCCTCCCTTCCCCCTGTCCTGTTCTGGCCCTTCCCCTCTGGCATTCTCTGCTTCACTCCACCCCCTCATGTGTCGTCACGTTGAAGCAGTTGGTTTGCTCCGCTGTGTGTCTGCCTGAGTGCTGTGCGAGGTTGTTATTTAGGTCTGTTACAGCAAGCGGGGAGCAGCTAACCCAGGGGCAGGGAGAGAGCTTCTTGCGGTGGGGCAAGAAGAAGACCGGCGTTTATCCATCTGACAGAGGGAACTCCAAAGCAGCATCGGCAGGGAGGGAGAAAGCGACTGTGAGATAAGTGAAGCAAGAGGATTGTACAGCAGTGTCAGGGTGAGAGAGAGTGAGAACAGGAAGCAAGGCAGCGCAAAACTGAAATCTCACTTTGGGATCTCTCTTAAGGGTGGGGGGTACCATGTTCGACTGTATGGAGGCACTGGGAATGGGCCCCCGTCAGCTGTATGATGTTACCAGCCGTGGTGCTTGCATGCTGCGGAAGGCAAGCCCCTTCTTTGCTGGGCTGGACCCTTTCGCTTGGACAGGCAGTGCCAGCGTTCAGTGTAAGTGGCATCTTATTTGTATTTCATGTGACATGGTCCATATCTGTCCCTCTGTCTATCTTTCTCTCCCTCTCTCCCTCGCTACACCCAGCGCTGGTTTGTTTACCCCTCAGGGCTCGGGCCAAGGGGGTGTTGTCAGGGGCCGCACAGGAAAGGCCTGGGACAGACAGTCTCCTCTCTCCCTGCCCACCGCCCCTCACAGCCCACAGCCAGTTTGAGCTGCTCAGTCATCTGAAAGAATCTCTCTGCTATGATATGATATGCACTGTGTCCGCATGTCTGTTTCTGAAAGCCTGCATGTGTGAGTTCATAGAATCAAGTTTCACTGACTGTCTAAACCACTTTAGGCTTGACCTTGGTGTTTAATTGTAAAGTAATAACATGTTGGAATCAAAGAGGAAATGCATTGTGTAGTAACAGGAAGAGAAAATGCTTGACACATTGGATTTGAAATGCTTATCTAATAATAAATAACAATATAGGTCAGGATTATGAGGTTTAGTTTAAAATATAAATGTTAAGCTTTTAGATTGTCTCCCATGTTCATCTTAGCCCATGGATTTGTTTACACTGCTGGATAATGATATTCCTCTTGAGCCATGAATTCATAAGTGCATGAATTATTGAGGCATAAAGGACTGAATAAATTTAGAAATGTGGAATGCATGTTGTCTTTAGAAAGCTCTGGGATGGCCTGCATTGCTTTCTTCTTTCTCCCTTCATTTTTCATCTCCCTCTTTCCGCTGCAGACTTTAGACAGGACAAAACAACAGGCCTGTCCATGGACATTGAAAACTCTGCCCTGATTCCATTGACTTCCAGCGGCTGGAGTTCTGTGAGGGGACATGTGAGAGTGGAAAAGAGGTGGGGGTGGGCTGGGGAGGGAGAAGTGTGAACAGACCTAAGCCAGATAACACAGTGGAAAAATAATACAAGAAACAACACTAGAGCAGGGAACAGATAGAAGCCCCAGGGTGTTCTTGTTTGTGGGACCTCTGCGTATTTCCTTGTAATGTTATAGTATTTTTCTGTTTATTCGTCCTCATTCTTTTTGTTCCTTTATCCTGCCTTTTGGTGAGAGTCATCTGTCTTCATTAATCGCGAAGACACCAGCGTTTCAGTGGCTGTCATGCACACTGGCTAAGCTTTAATGAAGACGGATGCCCTGTCAGTGGTAGACTGAGGCCAGGGGGGACTCTAGCCAGCCCAGCCTGCTCTGCTCAGCTCAGGGAGTCCTGATGATAACAAGATGAGAATTGTTTATTTAATCAATCTGGCCTCTATGGCCTGTCTTTTAACTCATTCACACACGCACATTTAAAATCAGCATGGCAGGCTCTACCGGTATATTTTTCTTCTGGCTCTGTCCCAGAAAATCAAAGAGACAGAAAATGTCCAAAGAGCTGCCCTGAGGGCAGGGGAGCTAAGTGTAGCAGGGCAGAGAAACTTGATGTGGTGTACTGTTTCAAACAGCCTCAGCCCAATAACCTTTGTAAACAAGGCCGCCCTATCCCACACAAGCAACATAATGCCTTCTTTAGTGAAGCAGTTGCCCCTCATTGTCCTCGTCAATGCGGCTGATGAATTGATGTTTGAGTCTGATATCTCATTAAGCTGGCTCAGCTGCTACACAGAGGGACCTGTGTGACCACCAATCAGGACTAGATCACAATATTCTTGATTTGTGAAGAGAGTGACTTGGCCCAAGGCTTGACCACAAGCTGATAAATGATAAACATGTGTATCTAGCATTTTTGTGTGAGTAGAAAATATTGATTCCCAAAGAGAATTGAAAAGGCATATCCTATTGTCTTTGTAGTAAATCTGGCTGTGACAAGTGTCACTACTGTTGGCCATTATCCAGGGACAATCACAGGACTTAAAAGTATGTGGTCAGTTTTCCTGTTTTTTGTTCAGTTGTGAGAGGCCTCAATGTCAGAGGTTAGTTAGAGGCTATGGCCTGGCCAATGTCAGATCTACACCATGTGTGGCAGCCTTGTCAGCAAACTGAAAGAGAGACCTCCTCCATCAGCCTGACTTGTGTAATGCTCTTAAGTGCCTTATGCCACTGAGCTGGTACTACATCTGAGCTGCCCCGTATGTACGGATAATGGACACTGATTTAGTCATATGTCAATGAGAACTGAATTAGTCAACTACCGGTGAAGCCATCTGAGAGAGCCCGTACAGAGCAATGCCCTCCGAGTCGATGTTCATTTGCTTAGATAAATGAGGCAATTACACTTAGTAGATCTCCAGGGTCAGAACAAGGAGAAGTGTGCTTTTCTCACTAAACACATTCCACCTTGTGTTTAGTGAGACACAAGAAGTATAACATTAGGGCCGATGTTATATTCCTAATCATTGATCGTGATTCTCTGCCTGTAATAATCTATCGCACTGGTCTGACCTCTGCTCTCCTCTTTGTTTTGCTCTAATGTGCCACACAAATGTGAATTACTACACAGCTAATTAAGATGAGGACGTATCACAGAATTCTCTGAAAGAAAACCTCTTCTGTCACCACTTGTACACTCCCATTTTTTGCCTTTCTGGTAGTCTGTTCTTATTTCATTATAATTACAAAAGATTCAATTAAAAGATTAAAATGCCTCAGGCAGAGGGTGCAGTTCTGAAAATAGATGAGGGTGGCAGCATGTGAGAGTGCAATAGAACTCTTATCCAAGTAGTTGTAATCAGGACTTATCGCTGTTGTTACATGTATGCCGTTTGATTTAGTTGAGATAAAGTCCACTGAAATGATCTAGAGTTGGTCCAGGGTTAGTGAGCTGTAATTGATATGTTTGAAAGTCTCTGAAAACAATTATGTGAAATACCCAAATGACCCCTTGCTATTATTCAAAGGAAATTGACACACAATCTATTTCCAGCAGGAATGACTATTTCTGTGAACATCACTTATGCACTAATCTGGAGCTCTGAGGTAAAGAGAATGTTGCAGTATCAAATAGCCCTCTGTCATGTTTGGTGTGTGGCTTGTGGATTAAATAAACTCAATTATGTACAAAAAGTGTTTGTACAAGTGTAGCTGGTATAGGGGAGCCATACAGCTGTGACTGTGTCAAAGTCATGCACAGCAATGGTTTGGATTCCTCAGGCCTATGCGAGAATCCACGTCTGCTCTAATAACAGTTTATAGCCCCTCAGCAGCGTCAGTCGCACGGCTGTAAATAAAACAACCATGTGGACTGAGAATGTAACACCTCAAAACTACGTTATCCTTTTTGCCTGCCATATATTCTACAAATAATACATAACATACAAGTTATGAACATTCTAACAATAGGTTTTCAAATGTGTGCAATCAAAAAACGAATCACAATTTAAGTTATCATAAATAGAATATGGCTGATTCTGCAATAAGTCTGTTTACTGAATATATAAGAAATACTGCCTTTTTATAAGGCATGGACACATTTTTGTACCTTTTTGTTAAAAAGGAGACCAGTTAGTTCTGTTTTTTTTTTCCATTGGCAAACTTAAATCCCACATTTTAAGCATTTATGTATATCCTTCATTAAATCACATCGGTGGTCAGAATAATCCCAATAACATATTTTGCCAAAATGGTGCAGCCCTTGTCCCAGTGGCGTTGTGGCTGCACACTCGAATACCCATGTCTGGTTGCTGCTATTGTAGCTGTTTACTGAGACCAGCTTTCTGCCCGACCGGCACTTTTCCCTTTGTGGAGGCGTGGACCTTTTGGCAGGTTCTGGATGGATGTGTGTATGTGGCTACCGTACCCTTCCATGTTGGAGTTTGGATTTTGGCACAGCCCCTTGCATGCCGTATACAGTAACACATGTATACTTAGTGTGCATGCATGCAGTGGAAGCCGAATGTCAGTTGGAAGCCATATGTGAGGCTTGTGAATTGAACGGTCCTGTTACGCCTGTGTTATTGACTGACGGACTGGCTCGATCCTTGCCGTGGCTCAGTGTTATGAGAAAGTAAGGGGGCCTACATAACCCCACCTGTATACTATGTGAGAGAGCATGTTTCTTCAGCTCACCACATTTGGCACGAGAGGGTGGGTAGTGTAATACAGTGTAATACAGAAATATTAAAGGACTGGGGAGTGATATGGATGGGGATGATGATTTCTCTGCATCATTAGTCAAATACATCTATGCATAGATGCAACTGCCACGACAACTTTAGTGGGGATGACGAATTAGATCATTTGTATACTTACATAGATCATTTGTTTTTTGTTCTTATTCGCCTGTGACTGTCAGCACTGCATCCTTTCTGTGTATTTTCCCTGTACTACGGCTGAAGGGGAACAGGTGTGAAAGCTGTGTACTAGTTAATATCTCAGACTCGTTAATAGCTCAGACTCAGACCTTTGTCCATTTGACTTTGTGAAAACATGAAAGTTACTAGAGCACATCCCAGATGGATTTGAGTCGTCTGTCCATTTAGAACATAGTATTAACATAGTATCTTGGATCATAGCAAACTTAGCAGTTAGAGTCTCGGACAAAAGGGAGTGTATGAAAAGCACATTGATATGATGCAGCGTCATCTTCAAGGTGTTTCTGGTTAGACCTGTTTATCTTTGAGAAAATGAAACAATACTTACAAAATTAAAGGACACCAAAGAATAATACAAAATAAAATGTTAACAAAACATATTAAAACATATGATCTGCTGTAAGTAATGTTAATATTGGTCTCTGGATTAATGTTTTGAATACCCACGACTTGCTTGGAACCTCTCACACTTTAACGGAAATGAATCAAAGTGCCACACATATTCTTCCGTGTCTTGTGGTTGGTTATGTATTTGCAGTTGCCAAATGGAACTCAGATATGCTCAGGCAATAGTGATTTGAGTTTCTGTTGTTCCTATAGTCACATGAGATGCTCAAAACTGTCATT